GGGCCATTCGTGGGATAAGCCTGTGATGCTGGTCCATTTGTGTGCTTCTCTTGCTTCATTTAGCAATTCCTGCGCAGGGGCTGCCTGCTGCCCTGCAAACTTTGTGTCAGAGCTTGTTGCAAGTTACGGGGCAATCCAGGCGCTCCCGCCATCTCCCGCCACTTTACAAGCTTCCAAAGGCGCAAGTATGTCTCGTGGGCTTGGGGCAAGCAAGGCTTTTGCTGCCAGCTTTGCCCGGACCCAACCTTGCATGCCGAAGAAAGCCTGCTCCAAACACCTGAAAGATGATGCGCGCTTGCTGTGCAACTAAGCTTGCATGCAGTTAAGAGTCGCCCGACCATTCCATGGTGAAAAACTATCACCTTCCAACTCTTTATGCTCCACACCAAGAGTGGCATGCTCGTGAACTTATGCTGACAGGCTTCCACAGTTGCAGTCAACTTCAGATGCCTCGATATTTTGGGGGCCGATGAGTTGCTTGAAGCCACGGCCGACAGTTTTGCGGAGGCAAATCCACCCTAATCCATCGCTTGGGAGACCACTCGCATGCCTGAGTGGGAAACCGTTTGCCAGAGCCAAGGATGGCGCCTGGGGGACGGTTCTAAATGTGTGTCTAAAATTTGTGTCTTAGTTTTTCTGTCTGCATGACAGCCCCACACGAGAGGGGCTCTCCTTCTGAGCTCAGCTCTGTCATCGCCTTGGGCCCTGCTCGTCGCATGTGAAAGCGCAGAGGACACGCGAGGTGGAAGCATAGCTTGCTTCAGATGCGCCTGTAAGGATGCAACACACATCTCGTCGTGTGTGACCCTGTTCACCATGCTCAGGCTCGGGCCTTGTGCAACTTGACAGCACAAGCTTGCAATGAGACTGACGTGCCACCGCTTGCACATTGGTGCTCATGATGCTCATGAAACTGAACTAGACTATCCTCAATAGAGCTTGAAGTAACCCAACACTTTGCCAGCTTTCCTCAGTTGTCACGCTAGCCGGGATTTCTGAGTCGTGGATAGGTGAGTTGGCAACCCTGCAACGAAGCATGACAAGACAGACAATCTGTCTTCGACAGGCGCAGCAGGCGTGTTTCCAGTGAATCAACCATGTCTTGGCCTTCTGAGTTGGCAAGTGCTTGCCACAGCCACCAAAAAGGGCGAGCAGCAGTCCGCAAGCATTCAGGCAAGCGATGCTCAAATTGTTGCCTGATGCCATGAAAGCTGCAGGCAAGTGATTTGTCAGCTTAACGTTGTGTCAGGTTGCAACGCGATGCGGCACGCGTTTACGCATGCTTGCTTGCGCAGCAAGCCTGCGAGTTCCAACGTGGGACCAATGAAGAGTCGTACAGACCAGGGCCCTTTCTTCCAGACGAGCTTGGCGCCTGTGGCTAGGAGGGCGTACTCTTTGTGCGAGGATTGTGACGTTTGAGCCCCTGTTACGAGCGGGTCCGATTGTGCTGTCGAGGTTACGCAAGAGACAGAGGCTGAAGAAGGCAAAGAGAGAGCATCCGTGCTGAACAAATTCAAGTCAGAAAGCCTAGGGCGAACTGTCGCGCGGATCCGCATATCACGAATTGTAAGCATAGATCAGAGAACCCAATCAGCGGGTTGCCAGGAGAGGCCCGTGACTAGGTTGATTCTGCCCGAGTTTAGCGAGATCCGGGCGCGATCCGGCATAAGATGTTGGAAGCTTAGCCAACCCAAGGTTTTCCTGGCAACATTCGCATCATTGGGGATAGCGGCCTTGTGACAGCTACGGTGCAAGTCCCAATTATCTGGCGAGACTTTGCAGTCATTCGTCATCCAAGATCCCGCACGCAATAGGAGAGCCCAAACGGGTTTACTTCAAAATGGTTTGAGCAATTGCAGGAAAACACGCTTGGCACGAACAACTGTGTCAAAAGACCCATCGTGGCAAAACCATAGCGAGACCAACGAATGACGTGATGGGCAGAGGGAAGTTCCGGCAGTCCGTGACAGCTCGGGCCTTGTGCAACTTGACAGCACAAGCTTGCAATGAGACTGACGTGCCACCGCTTGCACATTGGTGCTCGTGATGCTCATGAAACTGAACTAGACTATCCTCAATAGAGCTTGAAGTAACCCAACACTTTGCCAGCTTTCCTCAGTTGTCACGCTAGCCGGGATTTCTGAGTCGTGGAAAGGTGAGCTGGCAACCCTGCAACGAAGCATGACAAGACAGACAATCTGTCTTCGACAGGCGCAGCAGGCGTGTTTCCAGTGAATCAACCATGTCTTGGCCTTCTGAGTTGGCAAGTGCTTGCCACAGCCACCAAAAAGGGCAAGCAGCAGTCCGCAAGCATTCAGGCAAGCGATGCTCAGATTGTTGCCTGATGCCATGAAAGCTGCAGGCAAGTGATTTGTCCGCTCAACGTTGTGTCAGTTTGCAACGCGATGCGGCACGCGTTTACGCATGCTTGCTTGCGCAGCAAGCCTGCGAGTGCCGCGCATTGTCCCAGATGAACTTGGAGCCTGTGGCTGGGACGGAGAACTCTTTGTGTGGCATTTGAGCCCGCAGGAGCGAGTTGCCAATTGCACGGCCCAAAGTTGCAGAGAGCGCTGCATCGGAGTGTCGGCAAATGTTTGCGGATCTGAGATGTGTGCAATTGCTGGATGATCAAGCGGTACAGCGGTTGCCGCTCCCGCAACAATTTGTAGCGGTTTCAGAAGGAACGACTACACAGTGTCATCATTCATCATCACGCTTCAGTCTTATGCCGCTCACGACTGTGAGTATAGTCGATGTTTCACTCACAGCTTGATTTTGTCCATCCCTTCCCAGCATCAAACAAAAGGTGCCCTGGCGCCATGTTTCGCGCAGGGGGCATTCTTACACGCTCGTCGCGCGTGTGCGTTTCTTTGACACACCCGAGAGGGTCTCTCTGACTCGGGTCTACCTGATTTGCGTTGCATCGCGCGTCACAGCGGCAAGCTGAAGTTGCTCAGCATCCTGAAATCGTAGCTAATAGCAGTGCAACAAGGGCTGCCAGTTTGATTGGATACCATTGTGTGATAAAGGGCAAACAGGATGTATCAAGCTGTGGCTCTGGCAGCACGGGTCCTTTTAACCTGTGTTTGGTTCAGCGTGTTCTATCTACACTGCTCAAAGCGCTTATGCTGCTAAAAAGACGCGCGGGTAGTGCAAGGGTGCAGATGAAAAGAGCAGGGGCAAGTTTGGCTTCAGGGACTTAAGCGTCTGGAGGATTCAGGGTGGTACAGATCCAACTAAGTGCAGCCCGTACAGCATGATGATGTTATACTGGAGATGCCGCAGATCAGGACTGCTCGCGCTGCGGAGTTGTGATTTGTTGGCACCCCGTCTCTTCCGAATGGATCTGCCCGGCTGCTCAACCAGACAATCGAGCTGTGGCTGTGAATGGGCAGCCGGCGTTGTGAACTTCCCTGCACACAAACGGTGTGCTTTGAACCTGCCCACATCATGCAGTGTGTGGCATACGTGACTCCGTAAGCAACTTGTGCTTGCTTGCCCATCACTTTCAATGCAGCCTTGCTACAGGCAGATCTGTGCTCAACAGGTTTCAGTATACTGCGTATCTAAAGCCTCTAGCGCGCGCCGCTGCATATGTGAAGCTGTCAAGGCTTTCAGCTTCGGTTTGCTGCAGCTGCTGCTTCCTGCGTCAAAGGTAAGCGGAGATTCGTCAAGAGCGACACTTAGTCACTCCACGGGCTTTCCAAAAATGAATGCAAAGCCGTTGCGAAAACACCAAGGTCGTGGTGTCCTCACTTGTGCGTTTTGCGTAGGAGATGTGGCTGGCAAAGTGGTAAATCCTTCTGGTTGCATGACTCCCATGCCATTATGACATGGAGCAAGCTGGCCATTGAGCAGACAGCAGGTTTCTGGCACCGAGTTGCAGAAATGCACGGTCTAGCAGTTCATGGTGCAGGGCACAGAAGCATTTCTTGAGTCTTAGGCGGCTGTAGGTTTCGGGCTCATCCTGATATAGCCAAGGGCAGCCAAAAATGTGAAAACGCGCTTACAGTTGCAACTCATGCCATTGTGTGATAAAGGGCAAACAGGATGTATCAAGCTGTGGCTCTGGCAGCACGGGTATATTTAACCTGTGTTTGGTTCAGCGTGTTCTATCTACACTGCTCAAAGCGCTTATGCTGCTAAAAGACGCGCGGGTAGTGCAAGGGTGCAGATGAAAAGAGCAGGGGCAAGTTTGGCTTCATGGACTTAAGCGGCTGGAGGATTCAGGGTGGTACAGATCCAACTAAGTGCAGCCCGTACAGCATGATGATGTTATACGGGAGATGCCGCAGATCAGGACTGCTCGCGCTGCGGAGTTGTGATTTGTTGGCACCCCGTCTCTTCCGAATGGATCTGCCCGGCTGCTCAACCAGACAATCGAGCTGTGGCTGTGAATGGGCAGCCGGCGTTGTGAACTTCCCTGCACACAAACGGTGTGCTTTGAACCTGCCCACATCATGCAGTGTGTGGCATACGTGACTCCGTAAGCAACTTGTGCTTGCTTGCCCATCACTTTCAATGCAGCCTTGCTACAGGCAGATCTGTGCTCAACAGGTTTCAGTATACTGCGTATCTAAAGCCTCTAGCGCGCGCCGCTGCATATGTGAAGCTGTCAAGGCTTTCAGCTTCGGTTTGCTGCAGCTGCTGCTTCCTGCGTCAAAGGTAAGCGGAGATTCGTCAAGAGCGACACTTAGTCACTCCACGGGCTTTCCAAAAATGAAAGCAAAGCCGTTGCGAACACACCAAGGTCGTGGTGTCCTCACTTGTGTATTTTGCGTAGGAGATGTGGCTGGCAAGTGGTAATTCCTTCTGGTTGCATGACTCCCATGCCATTGTGACGTGGCAGCAGCCCTAGTGCCTTTGCCGCCAATTCGCATGTGCTTTAACCCAGCAAGGTGCGCAGCAATGCATTACCAGCAACTGGTGACAAGACAGCGCTGTAACGTGCCTTGCCGGAATATGTTTGCCAGCTTTGAGCTGGCTTGGTTGGCGTGCTTATGTGCCAGGTCGTGGTTGTTTGCAAACTGCATAGCTTTCGGCCAGGCAATGTACCAACTGAGACTGCGATGTGTTCAATTGTTTTCACTCGTGTCACAACACGGCAAACCAGCACCCTGGATCCGTGCTGTTCTGCCACGCGGGAAGCCAGTTCGCATGTGCTTCAGGACGCGCAGCAACATATTCGCCAGCAACTAGTTGGTGACTGGCAGAATTTGTTGGCTTGCTCTGCAGATCTGAGCTGGCTTGGTTTGCGGGCTTACGCGCCAAGTCCTGGCTGTTTGCAAACAAATGTAGCTTTCGGCCAGGAGATGATGTAGCATCAATGCCTTCTCGTGCGTCGCAATGCGTTAGACCAGTGCCGTGGATGTGCAGAAAATCCGCCTTTGCACGCTACTCCGTTACTGAGGCGCATGCACGCAGAGCGCCAACTTCGATGCTGCCGGAGTTCGCGAGCGGGCGGTTGACATGATGAGCGTGGTGCCCGTTGTTTCTCCGATCTCACTTGCAGAAGGCTTCGTGAAGCTATGACGCGCCTGGGTCCGCAGGTGTGTTTGTGTTTCTGGCTTTCCCGGGCGGAATTCAGAGCGTGCGAGCACACAGCTGGATTGTACGTCAACCAGATGTGGAGTCAAATGCCCAAGCGCTGATGGAGCCTGTTGCAGGCAGCAAGTTTCGGCTGCTGGAACTTCGTTTAGTCACAGCAATGGGCAACGCGAGAACGACTGTGCCGCCAGTGTGCTTCGACTCAGAAAGAGGAACAGCAGCCTACTTGCCAGCGGGCGATAATGTTGCCGGGGTAGTTTCGCTTGCCAGCTCTGAGCTGAGTACCTTGTAGCTGGACGAGGTTGGAGTGGGGCGGGCGTTTCGCATTTTGAAGATGTTGACCATGACTTCTCCAATCTGATTTGCGGAGGGCTGAGCCAAGCTTGCAGGTGTGATCGGTTCTGGCTTGCACGGGCAGACTTTGGATGGGATGACACAGCTGGATCATGTTTCAGCCAGAGTCAAACGCAAGCGCTGAATGGAGTCTCTTGCAGGCAGCAATTTTTCGACTGCTGCAACTGCAACTTTGTTTAGTCGCCAGCAATGGGCACAGCGCGAACAACTTGGCGGCCGAATCGCATGTGCTTCAACCCAGCAAGAGGCGCAGCAACCAGCAGCCGGCGAATTCCGAAGTGTGATTTGCCGGAATACGTTCCTCGGTGCCAGCAACAAAAGCTTCACGCAGGAGACAACGTCGCCAGAAGTGCACTGGAAGAAAGCGCCGTCTCGATTGTGACCGCATGTCTTCATGTGTGTCGCAAGGCGGCAACCAGCGCGCGCCCACTCCACGCGCGGTCGCATTTTCTCGGCCCAGGCTTACAACGAGTAAAGTCAACTTGGCGGGTAAGCCGCCGATGAGACTGGTGTGGCCAAAGATTCGGCAGGGCTGCAGCGAGGTTTGCTGGAATACGTTCCTGATTGTTTGCAAGCAGCGGGAGCTTCATACAGGACACAACGTAGCCAGAGCCGCACTGGAAGCAAACGCCGCCTCGACTGTGACAGCAATGTCTTCACGTGCATCGCAAGGCGGCAAACCATCGCGCTTGCGCCCGCTTCGATGTTCGAAGAGCGCGAGACGCCTTGCTTCGTATTTTCGCGGCCCTTTCTCTCAAAGCACAACGCCCGCGTGGCACAGCGCTTGGGTCAGAGTCAGCACGTACTGGCGGGATGTCACCCACCGTCTCTCAACAGCATGCGTTAAAGCAAGCGGCGTGGTATGTCGGCGAACAGCGCTAAGGTAGCTCAGGGAAGGTCAAGCTTCCAAGCTAAAGGTGAAGGGCGAAGATTCACGAGAAGGCCTTGGCAAGTCTTTAGGCTTGCAAGGGCACGCGCTTCCAAGGTCCCTCCGAGTGCCGCGACATCTTGAAGACAACAGATCGGGTGTCAGAGTCATTGGGGCGCACGCAAAGCACCGGAGCTTGCGAGCAAACAGCAAGCTTTGGCTAAATGACAGCATAAGTCATGCTATGTTATCTGATTTGCCCATCATGTGCTTGGGTAGCGTCAGGACTCAAGCTGGCATGTTCAGTTTGACCGCGTTCCGCACAGAGTCTGCGCTGCCATCGCCTGCAGTAAGAGTCCTCAGCAATGGCAGCTTCATAGCAAAGATGTTGCAACCTCTGTCTCCAGGCCGAAATGGCTTCAAATGCTCCTCAAGGTTGCCTGCGAAGTGAAAGCACGGCATGCGCTCAAGGCACTTAACTTCGTTTCACCGCGAAAAGGAGATGGGAAAGGCCGAATCTTGTTGAGGCGGTTTGCACGCATTGTTCCCATCCGGATCTTCCCTCAAGGTGCTCGGACAGGGCCTTGCCACGTCCAAGAGCCAGCTTTCACGGGTGTCATAATGTGAGGCTGCGCTAACATTGCTCAGGTCTGGGGCGTGACACTTTCGGGGTGAAAGGATTGAAGTTGCGTCGCCTTTCGGCGTGAAGCATGTGTTTGTTCCCGCCGCTGTAGGGTTTCTGCCACGGGGAGCACGGATGCGCAGGGTGTAAGCAGCAGGCAGGTGAGTTGAGAAAGACTTCGCTTGGCGCCAGTTCCACGCAGCTCCCGCGCACAGCTCAAAGAGCGCGTGTCAAGAAATGTGTTCGGCCCCCTTTCGCGACCAGGCAAGTGACGTGAGATCTCGGTTTTTTTTCTCCAGCACTTGCCGAAAAGCAAGGCAGTGGCACGCAGGTTTGGCAGTGCCGAAAAGTCTCGTGACATAGTCCAGCAGAGGCATGCTTGATGTTCAGATGAGCTTTGGTCGCCAGACATGGCCGGTTCTTGCTACTCAACCTCTCTGACAGCAGACCACCAGTTGCATGGTCGTGCCCTTCCAAAGTTCCTGGCTCACTTGTTGCTTGCTGTTGGCGTAGTGGCGGTTCCCGAGTTTGCCGCTCGGATGGATGCTGACATTTTGCTACCCAAAGGCCTAAATGTCAACACGGCGAGGAGCGCAGAATATCATGCGGACTTTCTTCCAACCAGGGCAAGCAGGGAAATTTCAGTTTACTGGTCGTCGCTTTCCAAGGCTCTCGTAGAAGATTGCAAGATATGACAAATTTTTGCCTGCCAAAAACGATATTGCACTGCTAGTGCACACGCAGGTCTGTGTCTTGACAGAGGTGATTCAGTCGTTTCCTTTGTGCCGCATGTCATGAGGAAGGCGCTATCCTCTGGCGCCCGATGCGCCTTACGTAGGATAAATTTGCACAAGAGTTGCTTCAGTTTGCCTTGGCTAGTGGCTGACACGCCTTGCGTAACATCAGAGCATGCTTGCGTAAGGAGTGCACCACGCAGGCTGTGTTGCTTTTGCCTCGCGCCGGCGCAAAGCCTGACACGGGCTTGCAAACAAAGGCGGGACGGCAGAGGCTGGGCAGAAATCTCGAAGAGTGCGGTGCTTCCCGCGATTCGAACATCCCGTAGCAGGCTGCACACCACTCCCACTTGTGTTTGTTCAAAAGCTCGGGTCATGACCGGCGCGCTCGGTCTTGGGGCAAGGTTGCTTAAAATTGGCATAAACTGAGTAAAGTCGTTACCCATGACTAAATTCGTGGCGCAATCAATTGATAGGTTGAGAGGAAGGAAAATGTGTTTTAATATATTAATTCTAATCTTCGAATATATATATATATATTAAAATAATCTAAAAAATTGGATTATTTTGTTAATTGGTTATATGGATTTATATTTTTGCATATTGAATTAAATTAAAAGGCAGAAGATGGGATTTCTCTGAATTAGATTTTTCTAATTATATTTTGTTTTAAAAAATATATATTATGAGATATTATTATATTTTTATTATTTTATAATATATTATTGATTATTTTTATAATAATTATTATTAATGGTATTTAATCATATTATTGTTTTTTTTTTATATTTTTTGTTAAGGGTAGTTTTTTGTTTTTTTTGAAATGTCTATATTATTATAGTCGTTGTTCATTTTATAGATGTTACTATTATTCTTGTAATTGTTATTATGATTATTATTATTATAACTATTATTCTGAATTTGTAATTAATATTGTTTTTGTTTTTAGTCGAAATATATTTATGAATTATATTCGCTATTACTAATTACTAACTATTACTATTATTATTATTATTATAATATTACTACTAAAACTACTACTTCGACGATTATTATTACTACTGCTGCTATTACCTCCACGAATTACACTCCCGAATTATAGCCACGAATTATATTTACGAATTATACCCCATACCCAAAAAAATTTGCCCGATCCCCATAAAAAAAATATAAATCCATATATTTATTAAATATTGAATATTATATATATTATTATTATGTTTACATGATATAATAAATGAATTTATTTAGAAAATATATATTGATATGGGTTTGAATTTTGATTATTATGACATTGATAAATTATTATTTTTATTTTTATTTTCTAAAACATTAAATAATGAAATTTATATAAAATAGAATTTATGAATTATGGAACATTATAAATTAATCTTGAATAATTATAAATTAGAGATTATTTTTTTTAAATAATATTAATATTTATTTTATATTTAGAAATTGATTGTTCCCCTTCTTTTTCTTCTTTACCTTTTCTCTCTAGAAATTTTCGGCGGATTTTGAGGGAATAGGAATTGAATTTTTATTTTTTTTGAATTAAATTGGAATCTATAATTATGAATGGATTTTAAATTATATTTAGGATTTGGATTATAAATATATATGGGATTTCTAAATATAGATTAGTAATAAAAAAGAAAATAGGTTTATTATATGAATAGTTTAATATAATATATATAAAATAAATATTTCAAATAATTAAATATATGGTTATATTAATTTAATTCAATTTATTAAATTACTATTGATTTAAATTAATATATTCTAATTTCAATTTAATTCAATATATAAATTCAATTTATATTAATATTGCATCTTTCACATTATCAATTTAAATAATAGAATAACAAATAACAATAGAATTTTTATAATAATCAATTCTTTATATATATATATATATATCGATTATCTTTCCTATCCATATCAACCATCAATATTCATAAACATATATTCACAATCCAATAGTATTGGTATTCTAATTAATTAACCCTAATATAAGCCAAACAATAATACTAAACATATCCTATATTTTAAATCAAATTCAAACTTATAACATTAATTATATAAAACCAATATATTCTAACTACAATAATTTCTTTCTCCGCCATATCACCACTAAATTCAAACAATAATTCTAACATCAAAAATCAGAAAAATATTTATGCAAAACTAACATAC